CTCGCTGTTATCTCATATCGCGGCTCCTTCGCGGGGTCACGGGTTGTGTGTGCGGGTGCCCGCGTGGTGGTGGGGACTAATTTTCACTTGCTAATTTCCGAACAGGAAAAACGAAAAGAAAAAAAAAAGAGAGAGAAAGACAGAAAGGAAAAAAAATAAAAAAGAGGAGGGGAAAAAAGGAAAGAGAGAGAGAGAGAGAAAAAAAAAAAAAGTGGGAGTGCAGCGGGCTCCCTGCTGCCACTGCTGATCAAATGGAACAACAAGGGCAATGCCTGCTAATATGGGAAGCTATTTAGTGGCACGCTGCCTTTTGAAATGATGATGATAATGGATTCAGTCTGCTCATTAATGGAGCCAGAGTGCTCATTAGAGTGAACAAACAAGCCAGGTTGTCAGCACTGAAAATGCCAAGTGCTTGTTTCCATTTTATCTGAGGAGTCTAGAGACAGTGATTTTACCATTTATTTCCCCTTTCTGCGCTTGACCCCAGAGCTCCCCCCAGCATCAAAGTCCCTCATCTGGTGGAGCCTGTACATTTTGTAGCATCTCCCCGGCTCATCACGGCTTCAAGGTCACAGGCGCTAAAAGAGCAGCAGTGCTAGGGGTTTTGTGTGTGTGTGTGTTATGTGTGTATGTATGTGCTGCACTTCTACATGATTTTGCAACCAATAAGTTCCAGGGATTAAAAAAAGAGAGAGAGAGAAAGAGAGGCTGAAGTGTGTGCCATAGCTGTTAGTAGAGTGGGAAGTGTTTTCCTTGCAAATCCTTTAGAACCCAATTAGCTAATTTGTAATGTAAACTTCCTGACAGATCTGTGGTCAGATTTGCTCTCCAGGACCCGATCAAACCAAGCACACCACACCAGAGAAATAGAATAAATGGCGAGTCTCCTTCACTGTAAAAAAGCAGGCTGGCTCCCACTGGAGACAGGAAAGACCTGGCGAGTGAGTGGTGAGAGCTGCCGCACAAAATGCCCCAGTTCATCCTCACTGCTGCTGCGGGGCTAGAGGGCATAGCGCAAAGCTTAAGCAGCACAGAATTAGGTCTGAAGAAGGACTTAGGGATCTGATCTGAGATTTAGAAGGAATTTAGATCCTTAAGTCCAAAGTTGTGATCCTGAAAACCTTCGCTCAGCAGCCGCCTAAACCTGGAAGTGCCTAACTCCAGAGGCTCTGCAGTTTTCATGTTGAAGTGTCTGACACACCCAAGAGTTTTACTGCCGCACATGAGCACAGTTCCTCTGTTTTGACAGAGATGAGAAGCTCAGCACTTAGGACACCTGTACAGCAGATTAGGATCCAGAAGCAAGGAGTCCCTCTTCCCTGAGAAGCCCAATCTATCGCGTTCTGAAAAACAAAATACATGATGAGAGGAAGCAGTTTCTTATGATAAGCAGCAGTAGCTTCAGAGGTAGCTAGTAGCTACCCAGTCACTCAGCTCTTTCTGGCCTAAGAAATTTGAAATTCTTCTTGCACAACGGCACTGCTAGCAAAGAATAAAAAGCACCCAGTAATGTAGTGGGTAGGGTACTCCCCCATAGAGGGAAACATCTGAAGTCTATCCCTCTGAAGAAGAGAAGGAAACTGAATATGGCACAGTGTATTATAAACAGGTGAGGAGCACACTGTCATATCTTATGAGTTTGACTCACGTTTAGCTGTTGAAGGAGGAACATTTGCACTTGCCATTACCAGGGTTTCTAGGCTACGGGCCATAGCATACAGAGGAGCCTTCCTGGTGCTAGTCATAATCAGCTGTGTGCTGAACACGGTGACTAGCCTGTTCCTTCCTTAGTGTGCTGTTTCATTTTATTTTGTTTTATTTATTTATTTATTTTTTATTCTGAGGTGGCTCACCCTCCCTACGGACTTTATTGGGCACGACAGCATTTAAGCATAATTCTGAATTCCACACGGTGAACAAGGCACCTAAAACTAGGTCCTGTAGCTTGGAAGTGCCTGAGTCTTTTATTGGATCTATTCGTCTGGGGCAATGTAAGACACCAGTTGAAGTTTGTCTCCCAGAGAAAGTGGGGAAGGAGGATCAGTCCTCTTCACAGAGAAGTCTGATCTCATCTGGAGCGTAGAAATCTTTTGCCATACCTCAGAGCAAGGCTCTGAAAAGGATGAATATGCTTACTAATTTCCACTGAGGTGGCCCAGTTCTTTTTCTGATCCAGTAACATGAAACTCTAAAAATGGAGCATGATCTGGATTGTTGAACATATCTGTTTTTCAAAGGTAAAGAATACATACACTAAAAGTAATGCAATGTCCACCTCTAGCATTGAATAAACAGAAAAGTGAGTGAGATAGGTGCCTCTCATAGAAACTATGAAATTACTGCTTACTGGGCAATCTAAAGTGTGCATAGCTATCCGTAAAGGTTGCTAATGAAGAGAATTTCTAATTGTATTCTTTGTATGCGTGTGTATCTGTAGCGAAAAGCCCAAACCATATCAGTGCTATTATTATCTTAATAAACTGTTAGGAACTTGTCCTCTTCAGTCCTCTTAGCATTGGTGGATATATTCATTTCTCAGGTCAGTTATATCACTTAGACGTGAATACTTAAACATTAGATGCTTGGCCCAGAGTCTTTAGGGGAGTTAAATGCCAAATCATCTTCGAGGTGTTGGCACTAGTTCTAAAAGCAGCTAAGTTTAAAGTGTATCTTCCACCATTGCTTATCTATGCAGAAAATGAGTTTCTTAAAGAAACTGGGAATTATTATACTAAAATGACATTTTGAGTGGTAGTGTTTTTTTTGTTTTTGTTTTTATTTTAAGAAGTTTTCCATTGCTGTAAGTTCACAGACAAAGTTAAGGTTATGGTATAGTTTTCCTTACTTGACAGACTCAGAGCAAAACTAGTAGTTACATTTTTTGGACTTGAAATTCTCTTTCAGTTTGCAGCTTAAATGCACACAAAAGAATTCCACAAAAGTGTTGATTGAGAATTTCTGGACACAAAATATGTTCTAGCAAACCACTGCAGATTCAAAAAACCAGCTGAAACTCAAATAAATCATTTTGTGGTTTGAATCAAGCATTTTTCATCCCTTTATTCAGCATGTAGCACACAGATTAATGGCTATGCTTCAGTAACTTCGACAGTGTGTGCTCACTGAACAATTGGACCACCAAACAAGGGCTTCTTCGGTCTGTTCTCACATCAATGAGACACTCAAAAGAGTTCCAGATTACTCCTTTCTCCAGCTCCACTCACAAGAGTTCTCTCTGAGTTGTAGACATTTATCTGACATG